GTAATATTAGCCTTTAAATATGTTGAAATTTTATTCTGTTTTTTTTTTAGGAAGAGGTGCAGTTGGTATGGTTTATCAAATTGAATATCAAAATATTCAATATGCCATGAAAATTTCAAATAAAAAGTCAACAAAAGAATATGAAATAGCTGAAAAAATGAAAAATTACATAAATGAACATTCACTATCAGATGTTAAAATAATGAACATGTTTAATATACAAGGTTTTATTCTATCAAGACCAGTTGGAAAATTAATGGACGAAAATCAGTTATGTCAAAAGAAATATATTACTCAAATATTCAAGCAATTAGCAATTGGTCATAAACTTGGACTTGTTCATCGAGATATTCGAATATATAATTTAATATTATTTAATGATGAAGATGTTTATTTAATCGATTGGGATTCATCAACATGTAATGGTTTTAATGGTGAATATGAAGGGTCATTTCTGACAGCATCAACATCTGTATTGACTGAATATGAATTGACACGTGGTAAACAAGTTTCGGCTTATTATGCTGATGATTGTTTATCGATCATTTATATGTTATTATTATTTAATTGTACAAAAGAAGAAAAAATTACATTAAAAAAACTTGCCCGTGATAGTTCTGCTGGCATATTACTCGTAGAACGTAAAAAAGTTTTACAACGTTATGCAAAAGAAGCTATAGATTGTCTTGATGAAATTGAACAGAAACGTGCTAGTTTAAAAAATATAGATGATTTACATAATCAGTGTCAACAAATAATTAACAAATACATAAACTTGGCTTAGTTTCATAAAGTTGTTTTTTTTTTCTTACATATATAATAGATTTTTGTTCTTCAATTTATATTTTGTTGTTTATTAAAAAAATAAATAACATAAACGTATTCACTGATTTATTTACATTGGTGTAATAAATTCTATGAGAAAGTTTATAGAAAATACTTTGCACTTGAACATATTTTATAAGTCTAACTTTATTACAGTGTTTGAGAGTGTTTCTCCCTTAGAAAAGTTAATTTTTCGATAACAAAATCGATTTCTAGATTTATACGTATTCTGATAGTCTTTGCGATAGGCTTTAACCTGGCATAACTATTTTTTTGTTTAAAAAAAAAAAAGGTTTGCTTTTTTTTCTGACTAGTTTTTCTCAGAAGGTCAGCTAAAAAAAGAATAAATTAAAAATTTTTTTTTCGCTTCTTCCACATCCAGTTTTTTCTTCGTATGTCGTTTATGCGGGCAATCCTTACTCAATAACGACTCAATATAAAAGTGGTAATGTTTTCCTGTTATACAGAAGACACGCGGAACTAGAAAATAATAGAGCCGGATTTTTCAATTTCTCTTCTGTTTAAATAAGAAACTTAAGTATTTGTTTTTAATTAGCGATGCTTTTGGTTACGAATTTTAGAATTTTTCAGACATTTTTTAAAAGTGAAGAAAGATAAATTAAAAAAAAATCAGTCCACTATTAGGATCTAGCCCTAAGGGTGGATACCCTACAACTTGAAAATCATTTCGACTTGCTTAGCTCAAATCCTCCTGTTGAAAACGTTGCCTATGTAAAGAGTACTTTTTACCAATGAATTGACTATAACTGATAAATATCTTGCATATTTGGGAAGATATTTTAATCATAATCTACTCTAGCCAAGGCTAACATTCTCTGAAATTTTGGTTGAAATCGGATAAAAAATAAAAAAGTTTGTTTGTAAGGTGACAGAAAATACGTCAGTAACAACGCATTTTTCTAGATATAATTAGCTGACGATAGTGAATATCAATAAGATTCATGTGCATGGAGCTCAGAGATTCTCTACTTAAAAACAACGGTAAGAATGTCAATCTACGTGTATTATTTATTCAAAAATACAAAAACAGGTCCATCATCATAGGGGTGAGAAGTTATTGTTATTTTTTGTCATTAATAACAATAACAATAACAAAAAAAGTTATTGTTATCAATAACAAATAACAAAAAAAGTTATTGTTATTAATAACAATAACAAAAAAAGTTATTTGTTATTAATAACAAAAAAATAACAAAAAACTTTTTTTTTCGAAAAATCTTAGTTATGCTTTTTTACTATGTAAAAGTATACCAGTTCTATTTGCTCATTATTGTCCAATTGCTCGATGATGTTACTGACCGCAATCTCCGTTAGATAGCCTATGAAACTGAGAAAAATTCTAAAAAGATCTTTTCAAGTATCTTGCTCACCTACAGGTAAAATTTACTAATTGGTTTACGAGGAAAGATTCCTCAATGTTCGATTGCCTTTGACTTGATGTTTTGGTCAAATAAAAGTCTTTGCGAAATGAGATTCTAGGTGCCATTTTTCGAGTTATGATCTGTACAATCTTTCTAGACATTTTCTCATCTCCCAAAGGCCTATATTTGACCAACGCATCAAGTCAAAGACAATTGAGCATTGAAGAATCGTTCCTCGTAAAGCGATCAGTAAATTTTGCCTATAGATGAGCAAGATACTTGAAAAGATCTTTTTAGGATTTTTCTCAGTTTCATAGGCTATCTAACGGAGATTGCGGTCAGTAACATCATCGAGCAATCCGACAATAATGAGCAAACAGAACTGGTATACTGTTACATAGTAACAAAGCATAACTAAAATTTTTCGGAAAAAAAAGTTATTTCTTATTTTTTTGTTATTAATAACAAATAACTTTTTTTGTTATTTGTTATTGATAACAATAACTTTTTTGTTATTGTTATTAATAACAATAACAATAAATTCACACCCCTACATCATCATTCGAGTCGTTGAGCGTACAGCTTCTCTATGAACTGCTCGAATATATCAATCTCGAGCAAATCCTTCATTCGTCCATCAATGTCTGCCACATCTTGACTGAATTATCTTCAACGATTTTCGTTTTCATTTCCGGGACATTCAACTATCGTCTAAATCAAATTCTCGTCTTTATCCCAGAATCGACAAAACTCAGATTATTTCATAGCATTTCCACAAATTTGTAATAAACAATTAGATATGATCGAACTCGATGAATACAATGAAATAGATGAAACCAATTGCGAAGATTTACCATGTGTTAGTTACACGATATACATATAGTGATGGTTTATGGACGCGTTTAGATGGAAATGATGCAATTAAATGTCCCAATACATTGAATGATCAGCGTCGTCAGAATAATATTTCTCTAAGCCATTATTGTATTGATCCTTATAGCGGAGATATGGGTTGTTTACCAATTAAATATGCAGCTGATACATATGTTCATTGTCTTGGTGCTACTAATGAACAATATCATTGTCAAGAAGAATATCCATTAGATTATGATAAACGATTTAAATGTTGGAATTCATCGATATGTATTAGTCCACTTCAACTTTGTGATTGTCATGTGGATTGTCCATTTGAAGATGATGAAAATGATTTATTATGTCGATGGGGTAAAAATCAATGTCATCCAGGTTGGTATCCATGTTTGAATGGAAGATAGATATGGCGTTAACTTCGTTGTGATGGTTTCTATGACTCACCATGTTCTTATGGAGAGGATGAAGCTTTTTGTGATTTAATCGATAAACCATTAGAAAAATATTTCTCCATTAAACATTTTATTGACTATGACGGAGGTATAACAGTCGAACAACATACGTACAAAAAAATCTCAAATTCAGCAACAAAGCTTTTATTCTTTTCCAAGAATTTCATCAGCTACATTAACATGGGCTTGTCATCGTGGAATTTATGTTCATACGCCGAATTAAAAGAAAAACTTTTCTTGTTTTTGTCCTCCATCTTATTATGGAAATCGTTGTCAATATCAAACAAAACGTTTAAGTGTCGTTTTACAACTTGAAACATCAGCAATATTTTATCGTCATTTAGTTTCATTAATTGATCCTCGAAATGGTACAATTATATCTTATGAAGATATTTTATATACACCTGAATATCAATGTACTCCAAAGATTTATTTCAATTTATTATATTCTCAATTATTATCCGATAAAGAACAATCGAAAATATTACGTTCAAATTGATGTATATCGATTACATCTTCAAGGTGAGATCAATTATCATGATTCATGGTATTTTAAGATCAAATTTTCGTTTCTTTCTGTTAATCGTTTATGTAAAATTTTAATTCTCACTAAAACAAATCGAAATCGTAATAAAATAAAATAAAATTGTGATTGTAGTGAACATGGAGAATGTATTCAATATCTCAATACATAGTAATCAATATTTGCTGTCATTGTCATCAAGGATGGTCTGGAAATCGATGTGATATCTATAATCATTGTCATTGTTATTCTGGATTTGTATGTATTGGTCGAGGACGAAAAAATATTAAACCTATATGTTTATGTCAATTAGGAAGAATAGATTCACAATGTTATATTTCATATTTATCATGCAAAATATATCCATGTCAAAATCGTGGAATATATATTCCTCTTGATGATAAAATTCTATATCGACGATGTATATGTTCCGAAGAATATTTCGGAGTTCATTGTGAATATCATTCATCACAGATCAATATTGTAATTAATCAAACAATTTTTAAACCATCATCATCTATTCTTCTCCATTTAATTACATTATATGAAAATAAATCACATGAACATAGAACTTATTTAAAACATATTCATTTATATCAAGCAAATTTAATTGTCTATCATCCAAGACATTTTTTACCATCAATGGGTTTTATAGAAATATTTGATAATGAGAAAATGAAATCAAATTATTATCTTTCATTATTAATACTTATTAAACCAATGAAAAATGAAATATTATTTGTTAAACAAGATGAATGTTGTAAACATATTCGAGATTATTTAATGAAACAATAATTCAATATCATCAATTAAAATGTACAAAATTTTATTATTCTTTATGTTCCCAGGTCAATCACCCTCGGCAGTAAACGACCGTTCACTAACCAAATACGGCGAAAAACGGCAACTGTTTACGTTAGTCATATACGGCACCAGTAAACGACGATTTACAGTATATTACCGCAATCGTACACAGTGCCCGTAAAAGTTCATC